ACGGGACCTTATTAATGCTCGAATAACGTCTTAAACTGAAGCTCTGTGTTTTCATAGTCAAAATGTATGTTTGAAAACAATGTTTTTCATTTTATTCTCGAAAATAACATGGACAAAAATATTGACATCATAGGATCTTATATGTCTTGTGGCGAGTTTCCCACATACGCTTGACCATTCGTTAGTGTTTTTGGTTTGATAATATTTTAATATGCGTTTCCGAACTACGTGACTTGAGTTTTACTCCTTGGAAATTTAGTTAACTAACTTTCGTCGAAATTTAACTAACTAACACTAATGAATCCATAGGTAATCATACTTCATATTAATTTTATAAATGCGAAAGTTTAGATGGATGGATGTTTGTTAGAGTTTGTAGCGTATACGGCTGAAGGGATTTCGTTTAAATTTGGTATGGATGTAGAGGATAGTCTGGAAGAACATATAGGCTACTTACTTTTGTTTTTTTTAAATTCCACGCGGAAGGAATCGCGGGCGAAAGCTAGCTATAAAATAAATTGAAACTTCAGCAATCCAGTAATGACGGCACAGTTATTGAATGTATGTGAAAGAGAGGTTAGAAGGTTTATTATCGTAGTCTATAGTAAATATTGGAAATTTTGACATTGTTAATTAATTTCCAACATTGTTTTCATCTGCTGACATTATTAGATACATATTTCTTCGAAGTCTGATGTTACAATTTATATCTTGATGAAAACATGTTTGTTGACTTTATTTGTTTTCCTAATGTGCCTTCTTCAGCAGTATTACTTTTCATACAAATACAATTTCAGACATCGGCGACCTCGCAAACGTAAATAAATTATAAGTATAATAAAAGAAAGTATCAGAATAAGATATATCGCATTGGCCTGGCAATCTGTGGGTATTACATGCGAAAATTTAATTTAATCTAGCAACGGAAAACATTGCGTATAATCTTGAAATCTACGTGCAACGAAGCGTAATAAATGATTATCTTTACCGGTGGAAAATGCAATTTTAGTTTAATGATGTGAATTTTGTTTAGTTACGACTCTTGCTGTACGAAATTCAGACGTTAATTAAATCTTGGTAGAGTTTTGTAAGTAAATTTACGCGCTTGAAAAAAATATGGAAGATAAAAATGAACTTTCTGCGAACACAGAGGTAAGTTAAGTGTGAATATTTGTTTCATTGCATTAAAAAGTGTCTGTTCATTTAATGGCTTCATTTTAGAGAAGAGAATCCGCCCAAGGTGAAATAAAGAAGTTTAAAGAGAATCTCCTTCAATCTTTATCTTCCGAGAAGTAAGTTTCACAATCATTTTATCTTGTTAAAATCGTTAGAAGGTTTATTTTAGAATTTACTAAGCAGTATCATGAGAAAGATAATTAAATATGATTATTTAGTTTTTAGTAATTGTATTTATGTATGTATTTAAATGCCTAACTTTTTAATTAAAAGCTTGTGTTCCTTTTTGTGGATCTTGTAATCCTCCTTTTAGTGTTCTTTAAGTAACAGTGGTAGAGCCCGCTTTAACATCTTCGCACGAATGGGCCGACTCGCCCGGTGGTACTCCACGACCACACAAAAAACAGGCGTGAAGTGGAAACAATACCGCGTTTCGTCTGATCAGTGTGGTGTCGGAGGCCTAATTCTAGTACCTTTCCCTTTTCACCCCTTTCTTAATAGTAAAGGATGGGAAGGAAAAGTGGATTTGACGGTGGAGGACGTATCCTCCACGGAAAGGGAAGAGAGAAAGGGAGAGAAAAGGAAAATGTCCAACAGAGAAAGGGAAAATGTCCTCTTTATGTGTGCTACGTCAATTAAGAGTAGGCAACGCGTCTATAATTGCAGATGTTTATGGGCAGTGGTCGCTTTTCATTTCTGTGGATTCAGGTGGCCGCTTGATCGTTTGCCACCTTATGTTATAAAATAAAATCCTAATTCACATCGTCGATTTACAGCAATAAGTCAATAACGGAATCAGAACTGCTAGTGCCTCCTCCACCCCGCTCTCGGTCCGCATCCAGAGCTAGAGAGGCTCTGTGCATTCCTGCTAATGTCATGGCTGAGTTGGATGAAAACAAAATATTTGAACTAAAGGAGGTGAGATCAATAAAAATCTTACTAATTTCATAAATGTCGAATACAGATGTGTATTGGAGCGCGCGCATCTGAAACTTAACTATCGCATAACTGATTACTCTCGCTTTCTATGACTTTATGTTTAAGTGCACACACTACTCTATTTTTAGTTGTGCAACTAAACAATTGAATTGGTTGTAAAACAATCGACAATCGCACATCAGTTGTGCGATAGTTTAGTTCAAGTCACGTAATGTCAAAAGTTACGTAGTAACTATAGCATGCCTGTACGAATTGAGATAGAATTTGAAACCCAGATAATCTACACTCTGGAACTGTTTTTATCATTCTTCTCACAAGCTATCCGAGCAAGATCTTATAATACATTAAAAAAATAATTTATTACTATGGATGGTTAGAACTAAATAAATTGCTTATGCTCTTATCATATAAGGTAATTACGACAAATTTTATAAGCGATTTTGACAATAACTTTCAATTTATTTAGAGGCGTTTCTTTTGTTTGACCTGAACGGGGATGGCTATATTGATCACAACGATTTACGCGGCACACTGGTTAGTCTCGGAGAGACGGTTGATGAGGAACTTGTGCGAAATATGCTCTCAGAGGTAAATCTTCTTAAAGCGAAACTTTACTTCTAGTTTTAATGTATATACTTATCAAATATTTGTTTATCTATCAGTAGTTTAAGCATGTTATTTATGTATATTTATGTGTTCATAAAAAAAAGTTTTTTTTTTCTTTTTAGGCTTCTCAACCTCTAGATTTCGATGCCTTTGTCAATCTTCTCGGCTATAAGACACTAGAGCTGGATTCCGAAGAAACGTTGAAGGCTGCTCTCTCACGTTGGGATAATGAGAATTCCGGATACATCTTAGAGGAAAGGTAAACTTGCATTGGTGTCTTCTATACTTATATTATAAGGAGAAAAGATTTTTAATTTTGTACGTATTTAAATAACATAAAAACTACTAGGCCGATCTTAAAAATTCTTTAACCGTTAGAAAGGTAATTAATCGGTAATTAACATAAGCTATACTTTTTTTTTTAATTTTAAGGGGGGTGAATTCGCGGGCAACAGCTAGTTCTGTATATTTTAAATCTAGTGTCTAAAAGTGCTTAGGCGAGCTATCAATCACTTTTTTAAAAAGTAGAGTTTCATTTTAAGATTCGAACTGTAAGAAATTGAAATGTAGTTTTTAAGTAAATTTATAAGTAGATTTTTCAAGTTTCGCTTAGTTATGAAGTTATGGTTTGTAAACACGTAACTACTCAACATCAGGTACCCGTATTAGACCCGACTTACTTAATCCCTGGGGTACAATAGCCTTCAAAGTTAGGTTACGTGGTGAAAGTTCAATTTTCAAAAGCTAAGTTGTTTATGATGGGTTAACGTTTACAAGGGCTTTACTATTTTGTTTAATTTTTATAGACTTTAAAATAATAGTATTGCTTTTAAGTACAGTCACGGAAATTCGCGGTGATCTACATTACCAATAGGTAACAGCTAGTTGCGTAATCGTCCTAATAAAAATAGTCATATAATACTAACTAATTGTTTTTCGTACAGACACATATAAAAGCTGCATCCAATAAGATATTGTCGTCGTTGTTTTAATGAGGACAAAATATTTAAACGATTGTAACGTTTGAATACCGCTATACTCCCCGACTGTACCTCGTGCATAAATGCATTACGCACAAACGTTTCAATAATGTGAAATGAATCAAATTTTAACCTTGTCTTATTTCAGGATTCGTCATGATCTCATGACGTGGGGTGACCGTTTTACTGAGAAAGAAACTGATTATGCATTAGATGAAGCACCAACTGTTGACAAAGGCGGGAAAACTATGATCGACTATGTACAATTTTGTAGCCAGTTGAGTGGCCTAAGAAAAGCAAAAAAGTAGTATAACCAAAATAAATCTTAAAACATGTTTATCTTTGTAAATTCCATGATATAAAAAAAACAGGTACTAGATTTAAATAAATCTGATCTGTACAACTAGAGCATGCATTTAAATGCATAATGCTTTTTGTCATCATCGATATAAATGTTCAAATTATAGAGGTTGTTTCAATTATTTTTAAACTAAAGAACGGAAACATCAAATAATCGATTTTTTTTAGTTTGCCGAGTCCATTACGTCTATTATATATCTAAAATAGTCTATCTCAACATACTTTAAAAAAAGGACAAACTAAATACTTCATTAATTTAATAATTAACTTAGCTAAATACTTTCAACAATAAGTCGTTAATTATTCCTTGTAGCCAACAAGATAAAATTATTACATATTAAATTTAAAGAAGTTTCGAATAAAATAGTTTAAATTCCAGTTAATATTTAAACTAGCCAACTAGAGTCCCTCAGAAATGAACCGTCCGCGGACTTCAGAATAGGAAAGTTTCCACAGTGATAAGCAATTGTCGGGAATTAAACTTCTCAGCTCTGGGCAATAAAGATAAAATTTCACATTTTAACGCCCCTCACCCACCGCATTTCTAAAACGTTTAATCCGAAATGTTATTTTACTTTTGTATTACAAATATTTCAATAATACTAAATCATTTTTATTACATTGAACCTTTTTAGTGAAAAGGTCTACCCTAAACTTAGGTTGACTAGGCCATAGTCAACCACGCTGGCCAAGTGTGGGTTGATTGACTTCACACATATCTTTGAAATTCATCGCCGATATGTGCAGGTTGCATAAAGATGTTATTGAAATGTATATTAATGTATATGAAAATTACATTGGTACATGGCGGAATTCGAACCCAAGACCTGTAGATTACAAGTCAAGTGCCTAAACCACTAAGCCACCGACGCTCTAAAATAGGGGTATTTTTAGAAAATTTCAAAGTAATAAAAATATAATTATAATTAGGCTACTCACTCAAGATGCTCCTTATAGATGTCGAAGTCAGTAAAGACAAGTTCAACAATCTGATGAGGACCAGCGATGAAAGTGTAAAGTAGACAGTTGATATGAGCTGGGTACGGCCGAGGGTAGTCGGGGCTACTGAACGTGCCTCGCTCTTTCCCATACGTCGATGTATATCGTATACAAGAACAACCTGAAACAAGAGGTATCTATTTATATTGTCCATTACATGAAAAAGATAAAATGTACCGCAAAACAAGCATTACTTAAAACATCGCTCTCTCTTTTCTTCCTTCTACAATTTATAATTCTTCTCTTTCATGTAACGGAATATTGTAAAACGTGACGCCTTGAAACACTAAACATTAATTATATTCAAGTGTATTGTTATCAAAGGTAACTTACAAAAGCAAAATTAATGTCTCAATGTACCTACTAA